TAGCTGTTGAGAGTTTGGTCTGCCAGTCTTCAGGTTGTTTTCTGGGTTATTTATGCTGATGTGGGTGTTAACCTAGTTGTATCCATGGGAGGAGGTTAGCTTAGGGTCCTCCTACCCCATCTTCCTTGGGAGTTCTAGATTAACTCTTTAAAATAGGATTGGAATAATTCCAGTATCATCAAGATTTTTGGTATTTATGTATTTGTATTTGCTTTGTATTCCTCCCCCATGCCTTTGAACAGTTTTGTTGTGTGTGATCAACTGAATACTCTGTAACTCTAATTGCTCACTAACCTATATTTTCTAGAGACTCCTTAGGATAGTCCTCATGAATTTAAATCTGAAAATTTAATTGAGCAAGAATGTCCTATTAGCAATGAATAGTCTAGGAATATTGTTTAGGAAAAATCAATTATTATTTTACTTGGCAGAGAATTAAAATACCCAGCTGGGAGTTTAGTAAAGAAATTGCAACTGACCCTTGAATATGGCCTTACTGACAAGTTCTGCTAAATTACATGCTATTAAGTGGAGCTTATTATGAATGCCTCATCTCCTAACATAACAACCTGCTTCCCTTGGTAATGGAGTGTATTGTAATATCTAATTCCTTTAGTTAGACCTAATGGAAGATCAGACATGGAATGATATTTTTTAGGTTCTTTTTTAGCATTAAATTTATTTTTGGACAATTTGTATTTCAACGAAGTTCCTTTTTTTTATCCCCTAAATTTTTATTTAAATTCTAGTTAGTTAACATATAGTTAGCATATATTGGTTCCAGGAGTAGAATTTAGTGATTCATCACTTACATATTAACACCCAGTGCTCATCAATAACAAGTGCCCTCCCTTTTTTTTTTTTAAAGTTTGTTTTTGAGAGAGCACAAGTGGGGGAGGGGCAGAGAGAGAGAGGAAGACAGAATCCGAAGCAGGCTGCAGGCTCTGAGCTGACAAGTGCCCTCTTTAATAACTATCATGCATTTCAGCCCACCCCCTCACCTCCCTCCATCAACCCTCAATTTGTTTTCTATTGTTAAGAGTCTCTTATGGTTTGCTTCCTTCTCTTTTTTTTCCCACTTCCCCTATGTTCATCTGTTTTGTTTCTTAAATTCCACATATAGGTGAAACCCTATGGTATTTGTCTTCCTCTGACTTATTTTGCTTAGCATAATACCCTCTAGTTGTATCCAGGTTGTTGCAAATGGCAAAATTTCATTCTTTTTGATGGCTGAGTAGTAGATTGTATATACAGACCACATCTTTATTCATTCATCAGTCAACAGACATTTGGGCTCTGGGGTGCATGTACCCCTTTCAATCTGTATTTTTGTATCCTTTGGGTAAATACCTAGTAGTGGAGTTGCTGGGTTGTAGGGTAGTTCTATTTTTAAGTTTTTGAGGAACCTCCATACTGTTTTCCAGAGTGGCTATAGCAGTTTGCATTCCCACCAGCAATGTAACAGGGTTCCCCTTTCTCCTTAGCATTAAATATTATCTTAAATATCATCTAGCATACTTATTAATGTCTACCAACTATGGTATAAAGTAAGTAAGAAGAAAATTGAGTGGCCACCCATTTGCACTGAGCTAGTGAGAATCTGTTTCAGTGGGGGAGCTAGGAGACATTTGCTTACTTTATCTGTGGACAGGAGTAGAGTCTTAGGGTGTAGGGTGAATGTTGTTTCACAACCTCCTTTTTCTCATGCTTTAAAAATCTGGAAGCTTAGTTAGGTCCAGTCTTAGTTTTCTGCTCTTAGTTCACTTTTATTACACATTTTATGATTCTACTTTTTAATTCTTTTAAGTATAGTTGACACACTATGTTACATTCGTGTCAGGTGTACAACATAGTGATTTGACAAGTTTATACATTATGCTATGCCCACTGCAAGTGTAGCTCCTCTTGATGGAAGATGAAAAGAGTTAGTTGTCAGCCTTAAAATACACAATCTGGGGTCCCAAGGACAGACAGAATCTGGCTGAAATTCTGCTTGACCTTGCCTCGATCTTTACCTGAAGAATTAATTTTCACACAAATAAAAGTCACGATCTAAACATTAGCTCACTCATTTTGTTCATTTAATATAATCAATGCCATTAAAAACTAAAATCTTCAAAAATTGAAAAGATCATTGAGCTCTATTCAATCACCTACTTGTTTTCACCAGTAGTTGTCACAGCGAAATGCTATGTCATGCTACTGTTCAGTGAGAGAGATTTGGAAGCTCCCACAAAGGTCCATAGGATGCAGTTAGAATGCCATGTTTTGTGACTTCCTGGGGCTTACTTGAAAGCCTTTTTGACTTTCTGCACTTGGCACAGCAGAGTGGACCCTGTCTCCCTGGGGCTGTGTCCTCTGAACTTCCTTGTTCACCACTGCACCTCTCTTACAAACCAAGCACTCAGTTTTACCTTTAAGTCCACTCTGCCTTCATAAATGCAGTTCCCTTTCTTGTGATTATTTTCTTCCCTAAATCTCCTACACTAAAATGTGCCCTCCTGTTGCTTTATTCCAGAGCCAAAGCTCTTCTGTAGATGCTATTCCTTATTTGTTCTGCAGGATGATGTGTCTGTTAAGCAAGCAGCCTGAGGTCACACCCTGTCCGAGCATTGTGCTAGATGCTGGGCACACAGTGGGAATGAGATGCAGTCCTTGTCCTCTGGGAATTTGTGGCTTACTAGGTGGAGAGACTGGTGAGGCAACTACATATGCTATACTGAGAAAAACACAGCAATGGGAGTGAATGGGAGGGTCACCCAAACTAATTTGGGGTAAGTCAAAGTAGACTTGACTTGTAATGGTTTCCTATTTTATTACTTTCAGTACATTTAGGACTGGACTTCTTCTTAACAGTTTATTGGCTATTTTGTCTTTGGGATTTGAAATATGTTAGTAATTTCGTCTCATGATTTTGTCTTTTAGTATAGTGCCCCTCATCTGGTCTGAGGAATACCTGGTATCTGAGATGACCCATAAGAATCTAGGTTTTTAAGATTTAAAGAATTATTTTTTCATTAATAAAGCACTAAAGACAGAACAGTAACCTTTCTAAAGCAAAAGAACCATTGTTCATCTATTTACTCATTCAGCAAACATTTGAGTGCCAGCCACCACCCCATCTTGGCAAAAGCCCTATTTCAGTGGAAGAGAAAACATTCTGAACCCTCCTCCAAACTTCCCAGACAATTGACCAGTACAAACTGGCAAAAGAAGCCATGACTTCTGCTGCTTTGGAGGAAGCATATGACTCTCCTCTGCCTGTGATTTAGGGATCAAGAGAACCACGGGAGACTCTGTGGAGGAGCTGCGAGCTGATGGTCTGACTTTTCTTGATCGGCCTGGAGTTTTGCTTCCATTAAGGATCATTTCTTCCTCTTTCCCTCCCTTCTTCTCTTTCTCCCCACTCCTTCTCTCGCCCTCTTTCCCTCTCTCTCCCTATTCTCCCTCCTGTTTCACCCCTTCGCCTCCCTTGCTCCTCTCCACCCACACAGGCACTGCCTGAAGTGTTTTCACATCTTTAATTTTATTTTTCACTGTGAAAGGGACCACTTCCGTTTCTTTCTTTGACACCTGTGTAATATTGTAAGCCTAATTCAGCACTTAGAAACACCTAGGTTTGCTTTGTAGCTTCTTCTTCAAAGTATACACGTCTTAAGCACAGAACATTGTAGATTTTACTTCTTCGCTGCTCCTTCACCCTCTCTCCAGATGTTAAAACAGGAGGGGCTCTTAAGGCTCTGACCTGGCCCTTTTTTTCCCTCTCTCCTAAGCTGTATCCCCAGGTCATCGTATCCATGCTTAATTCTGTTTTGTGTGTCACAGACACTCGCATTTCTTTCTTTTTTTTTTTTTTTAATTTTTTTTTCAACGTTTATTTATTTTTGGGACAGAGAGAGACAGAGCATGAACGGGGGAGGGGCAGAGAGCGAGGGAGACACAGAATCGGAAACAGGCTCCAGGCTCTGAGCCATCAGCCCAGAGCCTGACGCGGGGCTCGAACTCACGGACCGCGAGATCGTGACCTGGCTGAAGTCGGACGCTTAACCGACTGCGCCACCCAGGCGCCCCGACACTCGCATTTCTTATCTGAATGCTGTTTCCTTTGAACTTTACAAAGGCGAGCACACTTCCTGCATGGATGGCTCCTCTGGGGTGTCTCAGACATAAAACGTCCACCTGTAACTGCCTTTCCCCCACGAGGGCTCCCCATCTCAGGAAGCCTCGGAGTCTCCTACAGCAGCCCCACCTTCTTGGTTATTGGGGTCACTGGACTCGGGGATAGGACTGTCGGCTCCACTGCCATGTCCCCAGTGAAAAAAGCCAGAACAAAAAGACAAGTATTGAATGATTCCTAGAGTGGTCAGATTCATGGAGACAAAATAGAATAGTGGTTGCCAAAGGCTGGGGGGAGGGGGAACAGGGAGTTGTTTGGTAGGTAGAGTTTTAATTTAGGATGGTGAAAAAGCTCTGGAAATACAGATGGCTGGTGATTTTACAACAGTGTGAATGTACTTAGTGCTACAGTACTGTACACTTAAAAATGGTTAAGTGGTAAATTTTATGTATATTTTAGCACAATAATAAAAAATAGGTTTATCAACATTGTATTTAGATCTACACTTGCCTCAAAATAAAAAGTTTACATATAGAAACATAAGTTTGTTCCCTTTACATTGTTCGTTGAAATTTATATTGTTTTTGTTGAATTTGTATTGATATCATAGCTGATAGAGTAAGAAATTAACCTGTGGTACCTGGAATTTGCTCCTACCTTAGAGTCTTTTAAGATACAGCTACATCCACACTGTTCAATTACAGCATGTGTCTGTTTTACATTAGACTAGCTGAGCTCTTTGACTCTTTAAAAATAGGTATGATCAGATGATAAATTTGTTTAAAGGCTGGTGAAACGGAGTCTGTTTTAGAATTTATGTGTGCTAGCAGGTAGGACAAAACAGCTCAAGTCCTTTACTTCTGGCATTTTCATGTCTTCCCAGGTATACCTTGAAAGACTTTTAACATACGCAGAGATAGACATCTGTCCGGCCAACTGGAAGCGGATTGTTCTAGGGGCGATCCTTTTGGCCTCCAAGGTTTGGGATGACCAGGCTGTGTGGAATGTGGATTACTGCCAGATCCTGAAAGACATTACGGTGGAGGACATGTGAGTGTGTGTATTGGGGTTGGGGAGTGAGGCACAGTTTGGGTAGGAACCACATCCCTTCTGAATAGTCTGTATGGTATGGAGTGAATGAATTTGACTAAATGTCTCTTGTGAGTGGGCACAACAAGGACACACTTGTGGAATATTACATGCAAAAACCTGTACTCCACTTCATTGGGGATCATGAGCAGGCACTGGTTACACTTTTTGATTTTGTAAAACTAATTTCTGAAACTGTATTTATATTCTAGGCAAACATTCCTTTACCTTAATTTTAGAAGGTGTAGACTAGGGCGCTTAGGTCGACTTCGACTCAGGTCATGATCTCATGGCTCATGAGTTTGAGCCCTACGTTGAGCTTCTGCTATCAGTGTAGAGCCTGCTTTGGATAGTCTGTCTCCCTCTCTGCCCCTCCCCCACCCTCTCAAAAATAAAATTTAAAATAATAAAATAAATAAATAAGACAGGTGTTGACTAATGTCGTAAGCAGTCTGTGATGGATTTTGTTCTGGCTCTGTATCTCACTGCAGACCAATAACAGTGCTCCATACCAACAGCCTAACCCAAAAAGCAGAACAGCTAAAATACTATCTGTTTCTGTTTAGTTTCAGAGAGAATTTGCAAGTTCAGTTGCTTAAAATCAGCATTTTGTTCATGAGCCCTTTCATGTGTCTCATCTGGGCTGCATTTCTCCTCCAGCTGGTCTCAGAGCCCCAGCTCAGCAAAGTGTCACAAGCTTTGAGGGTGGGGGGCATCCACTCCCGCAGCTCTCAGGGCAGCGTTAGGATTTCCCAGATGATTCAGTCCATAGATTGAGGTGAGGATTGTTAACAGGAGACCTGCAGGCCTATAATCTGGGATTTCTGGGATCTGGGAATACAGGAAATAGATTTAAAGCCTCTTAGAGGAGAAAGGAGCTGTTCTGTAAAACAATCAGGATGAACTGTTTATAGTTCCTTATGGTTTTTAGGCATTTCTGACACTCTTCTTGCTGAAAGTCTTCTCATGTTCGTTCAGCTTCCTTGAGAAAGCTTTAGGCTGGAGGAGGTTCCCAGCTGTGTCATTCTACCTCCATTCCCTAGACCCAATAATCCTGGAGGTGCGGAACCCTCACGGTTCCATTGTGGGGGTGTCATGTGGACATATCACCACCTAGCGCCCTTCTTGCCTCTGGTTACTGATTTGATGGCACCTCATTTTTGTGGTACCCTGTGAAGCACACTTGTTTATATTCGTAGGTCTTTTGTTGCAGAGCTTATTTCTGCTATAGACCTAAAAACTCCTTCCTGTGTCTCTAATTCTTTTATAAAAAGTAAGAAAAGTCTAAATAAGTTTTTGATAGTAAGGAAAATTAGTCTTGATTATATTTCAATGTGTAAACAGCTACTAAAATAATTGTTATTCAGACCACAAAGGAGGGTGCAAGGTGGTAAGAAGTGCTGACTTGTTTCCTTTATTGGGAGTTACTCTCTCAACTTCTTGACATCATTTGACACTGGATTATGTGCTGCGGGAATGACATCATGGTTGTCATTTTCTTGTTTGTGCTGATGATGTATGTATAAGGGAGGAAAAACTTTCCCTTCTTCCCTTGTTAGGTTGTTTGGTCTGATAATTAAATTGATGTAAGACAAATAAACAGGAGAAAAACACATTCCATTTTGCACATATGGGAGCCCCATAAAAATATGGGACTCACAGGCAGTCAGGCAAGTGAGACTTGTATGCCATCCTGAGCTAAGGAATAGGATAAGGGCCTAGGGCCTCAATGGGGAGGAGGGCAGTTCACAGGAAGATAAAAAGAGCAGATGCTTGGTAATCACATGTTTGCCCTGCCATGGCTATGCAGGCTTTTCCTTCCAGGACAGTGAGCCTCAGTAAGGGCTGGTGGTGGCCTGCCTTTCTCTCCCAGAGCAGAGGAGTGGGAAAGGAGGAGCCAAAAGGAGAACCCACACACTTGGTGTGTTCTTGGGGAAGTCACTTTAAAGAATGAGAAATGAAAGATACAGGTCTAGAAATCTGTTCCCTAATGCAGTTGTATTTTTAGGCGTACTCGGAACGCTTTGTGTGTTGTAAGGGAGCACATACGCCAGCATGAAGACCAGCGCTCCTCCGAGCGCTGCAACAGATACCCAGTGTTATGGGCCGAATTGTGTTCTGTCAAAATCCTGTGTTGAAGTTAACCCCCAGGACTCAGAATGTATCTGTATTGGAGAGAAGGTCATTCAAGAGGTAATTAAGTTAAATGGGATCATTAGGGTGGGTCAGACAGCATAGGCAGAAGGACAGCCATGTGAGGACACAGAGAGAAGATGACCATCTGCAAGCAAGAGAGAGGCTTTAGAAGAAACCAACCTTGCTGTCACCTTGACCTTGGCCTTCTAGCCCCCAGAACTGTGAGGAAATGAATTTCTGTTGTTTAAGTCCCCCAGTCTATGGTATTTTATTATGGCAGCCCCAGTAGATTGGTACAGATTTTGATACTGGGAAGTCGGGTGCTGCTGTAATAAATACCTAAGATGCTGAACTGGCTTTGCAACTGGGCAATGGGTAGAAGCTACAAGAGTTCTGAGGCACATGTTAGAAAATCCCTAGACTACCCTGAAGAGATTGTTAGTAGCAATATGGTTGTTAAAGGTGGTTGTGATGAGGACTCAGGAAGAGGAGAGCTTTAGAGGAAGCCTCTCTCACCTTAGAGTATACATGTATGACCACCAACAGAATGCGGAATGTTGCTAGAAATACAAATGCGAAAGGTGCTTCTGAAGTGAGGTATCAGACAGAAATGAGAAACATGCTATTGGACACTGGGCTAAGGGTAATACTTGTTATAAAGTGGCAGAGAACTTGGCCAAGTTGTGTTCTAGTGTTTGTGGAGAGTAGAACATTCAAGGAACAAATTTGAATATTTAGCTGAGGAGATTTTTTAAAGTTTATTTTATTTTTATTTTTTTATTTTGAGAGAGAAGAGCACAAGTGGGGCAGGGAGGGAGGGAGAGAAGAAAGAGAGAGAGAGAGAATGAATCCCACGTGGGCTCCACACCATCAGTGCAGAGCCCAACACGGGGCTCCATCCCACGAACCCCAAGACCATGACCTGAGCTGAAATCAAGAGTTGGACACTTAACTGACTTAGCCACCAAGGCGCCCCTAGCTGAGGAGATTTTTAAGCAGAATGTTAAAGGTGCTTCCTGGTTTCTCCTTGCTGCTTTTAATAAAAGCTGAGGAGAGAGAAATTGAAGAAGGAATTTTTAGGTAAGAAGGGACCAGATGTTGAAGATTTGGAAAAATTCAAATTTTCTAATCTCTGCCTATCCCTTTTGCAAAGAATGAGAAAGTGTGCTCTGGAGAGAAGAGTAAGGGTATGGCTGGACAGTGTTTGCCAAAGAGATTACAAGAGTGGCTCAGTGATCAGATCAACCATCTCAGCAGACATGTTGCCAGCTTACACTAAAGTGAACAGAGACAGGACAAAATGAAGGAAGGCTCTCAGACTTCTGGGATTCTACCAGATGGACCAACAGAGCTGTCCTGTTGTGAAGTGTTAGTCTTCAAAAAAGGGGGAAAATGACCCTGAAGACAGTTTGGAAACTGGCAGGGCTGCCTTTGCCACCATAGGCACAGCAGGTACAGGTCTGGGGACACTGAGGCTGCCTTCTCCTGGCCAGAGGAGGTGGGGCTGCTGCCACCTCAGCAGGCTGGGTGATAGAGCATCAGCTGAAGATTATTCTCAAGCCTTAAGATCTAATGCATTTGCCCTGCTAGATTTCAGACTTGCTTGAGACCCAAGACCCCTTTCTACTTTTTAATTTCTCCCTTTTGTAATGGGAATGCCTGTGCAACCATTGTACTTTGGAAGCAGATACTTGTCTGGTTTCACAGGTGCAAACCTGGAGAGGAATTTTGCGTCAGGATGAATCATACCTCCAGCCTCACCCATGTCTGATTTAGATGAGATTTAGATGAGATTTTGGACTTGGAGTTGATGCTGGAAGGGGTTAAGACTTTTGGACTTTTGGGATTGGGTGAATGTATTCTGCACGTGAGGTGGACCAGAAGGGTTGAGGGCCTTCTCTCTCGAATGCATATGTGAAGGCCTAACCTCTAGTACCTCAACATGTAACCATATTTGGAGATAAAGTGTTTAAAGAATTAATTAAGTCAGAATGAGGTCATTAGAATGGACCTTAATCCAATATGATGTGCCCTCTAAGAGATTAGACAGTCTTGTGCTATTTTGTTATAGCAGCCTTAGCAAACAAATACATCCAGTAAACATTATTGAAAGAAGGAATGAAATCCAATGTGGTCAAGAAGCCATTCGGAGGTGTGTGTTGCTGAACAAGCTTGTAGAGATAGGAGCTTTAAGTGATTTTGTAGCATCTATACAGAAGTGTAGATTTACTGTTGGGACTTTTTAAAATGAGTGCTTGATTTCAGTCTTTTCCAGGAAATCTCTATGAGCTTGGGGAGAAAATGGCTTCTAGGTACCCCTGTCTATGGAGAAGGAGCATTGTGGGATATCACTGGAAGCTAAGAGCTATGGCACTTCACAATGTGTCAATGTTATGTCAGTAGCTAGTGTTCATTTCCTGGTAGAGGCAATCTGAGCTTTCCTTTGGAGCTTCTTAGCAGGAAGAGGATTCACAAGTTGCAGATGGAAAGCTTTATAAAATGTGTTGTACTTCCAGGCATCCTTCTGTCTCCCTCTGTACCCTTCTCTCGGTTGCTGGCCTTGCCTGTGTTCTAGCATCCTGATGTGACCTTTCTGTGCACAGGTTCATTTCCAGCCAAAGAACCATCTAACAGTAAGGAACGTGACTTGGAGCCCCTTTCAAGGGACAGTGGGGTTCTGGCTTGGAAGGCAGCTTGACCGTGTGGGCAAGTGGCTGGGAATGTACGTTGAAGAACATTGTAAGACAAGTAACCCTGAAACTTGTGGGTAGAACACTCAGGGCCACCAACATCAGACTTCAGACTCAGGCTGATGTTGTGCAGCAAGACAGGGCCATGGGCCAGTAGGTCTCTTTCTCTCTTGTTAACAGTAAGTGGTCACACCGTTGTAGGTCAACATTGAGCACCTAATGACAACTGCTGTGGATGGGAAAGAGGATGATGAACTTTGATAGGCAAAAATGCTGTCAAAAAAATTACACTTTGGGTTGTTTTGTTTTTGTTTTGCAATAACCTAGTAAGAATCATTTTCATATGTAAACAAAGGAATCTCAAGGAGAAGCCAAGAGACTTGTCTTAGTGCTGCAGAGCAGATAGAGGCGCAGAGCAAATCCTCAAAACCTCCATAGGTGTAGGGTACCTGGTCTTTGGTTTTTGGTTTTAATTGTGATAAAATATACATGACATAGAATTCACTGCTTTAACATTTTTAAGTGTGTAGTTCTGTGGCATTAAGTACATTCACATTGTTGTACAGCCATCACCAACTAGAAACTCTGGTAATGGATACAGAAACTGTATAAAATAGTAAGTTCCCATTTCACCTTCCCCCAGGGCCTGGCAGCCATCAAGCTGCCTTGTCTCTATAAATTTCACTACTCTAGATACTTCATTTAGGTAGAATCACACAGTATTCCTCTTTTTGTGACTGGCTTATTTCACCTAGCATAATATCCTCTAGATTCATCTACATAGTAGCACATATTGGAATTGCCTTCTTTTTTAAAGTTGAAAATATTCTAGTCTGTGTACATACAGTATTTATCCATTCATCCATCAGTAGACACTTGGACACTTGCACTGCTTCTACCTCTTGGCTATTGTGAATAATGCTGCCATGAACACAGGGTGCAAATATCTCCTTGAGTCCCTGCATTCAGTTCTTTTGGCAGGTATATAGCCAGAAGTGGGATTGCTAGACTGTGGGTGGCTGGTTTCTAAAGTGAACCCGTTTTTCTAGAAAAGCGGACAGATGATAAATGTTTAGATGATCAAAACAACTCTCCTTACTCTGCTTTAGAAGCCCCTTTGTAAGTTGCTAAATTGTGTGAATTCAGGGTTTCTTTACAGTTTTGATCTAATATAACATATTTCTGAACATATGTTTTGTGTATTGACTTGAGTTTATTTCTTGTAAAATTTTACAGCAGAACTATTTTCTCATGATTATTCATTTGAGGGCAGTAAATCCATCAAGCCCATTCTTTCTGTGTCACTGTTAGTATTTTTTTTTTAAGTTTATTTATTTATTTTGGGGGAGAGAGTGAGCACGTGTGAGCAGGGAAGGGGCAGAGAAAGAGGGAAACAGAATCCCAAGCAGGCTTCATGCTCTCAGCACAGAGTTGGACGCTTAACTGACTGAGCCACCCAAGCGCCCCACTGTTATTATTATGACTTATCACATAGAAAGTTGTTGCATGTCCCTGTAAGATGTACTACTACAGTTTGGAAGTTCAGATTTGAGGAATTATTTTTATTTTCTAAATCTTGCCTTAGCACAACAGCTTTAAAGTCCATATTTCCCTCAGAACTTAAAAAAAAAAAAATCCAAGAAAAGCCTGAAGAAAGGCTGTTCTTTTTTCCCAAGGAACCTTGGAGAGAATGCCAGCTTGTCCAAAAAAAGATTCCTCTTGACTCTAATCAGAGTGTATACCCTCAACAAGAATCATTGCTATCTATATACCATTTGGGGCAGGATTAACAGACTGGCTTTCTTACAGAATTAAAAAGACAAGATTTTCTTAGCATCAGGAGAGTAAGAGCTGCAGTGGTACCTTCGGCCACCAGACGGCAGTCTGTCCCCAGGCAGCTCCCACCATCCCCCAGGAAAGCTCCTTCAAGCCCATTTGTTTTGGCACTTCTGGCCTTAGCAGTATTTTTGGCTCTCTTGTTTTATTAAAATCTTAGCTCAGTTCCGGTATTTCACAGGATAATCTTTGTTACATCTCACTTAAGGGAGGCATAAATAAAAGTTATTTGAAGTAAAAATTATCCCAAATAAGTCAGTAATTTAGACTCTTGAAAAGAATAAAATTTAGCACAATATGCACATTTGGAGCTCACCACCTTCACTGGACTGTCTAGAAACATAATGCAGTTATGCTGTTTCTCTGATGAAAAGATCTGAATGTGACTTTTCCATGTTCCCATCTGAAGCCCTCAGACCTTCACTAGCAACTTGCTGACATTTCTTAACTCATTTTCCCAGTACCTTTCATCTCTAAAGCCGCCTGCCCTTGCTCAAATCCTGGCCTTCCTTCCCTGTCACCTCAGTGCTCCTGGCCCCTGTTGTCCCAGCAGCATGAGACTGGGACAGAGTCCCCCTCAGTCTCTGATGGCTTAGTGAGGTGACACCAGGAACAGACTGGGACTAGGGTACACTGTGGGGACAGGATGGTGCTATGTTAGTTTGAGATTGGAGAAAATCAGGTGTCTGTATATGCAGGAGCCAGAATTGGGTGGCTTGGCGTTCGGTGGAGTCAGCGGAGGTGGGGTCAGGGCTTAGGACCGGGGAGACCTGGCACTTGGGACAGGGTTGGTTCATCAGCCTTCAGCTTCAGTCACGGGAGATGGTGATCAGGTATCCTGTCCCCCACTCCCTGCCAGAAATACCCTGCCCCCACCCTTCTTCCTCTCCACCAGAGCTCTGCATTTCCCAAACTCAGTTCATCTGTTACTTCTGTGGAAGCCTCCCTCTGTCTCTCCACCCAGGCTGAGCTTGGTCTGTTCCATTCAGTAACATGAATTATTGAGCACTAATTGTCAGGCATTGTGCTAGGGGCCAGGTATGTAAACTCCGATGTCACAGTTTCCGTCTCTGAGGAGACAGGTAGAGGAGGCTGAGTTAAGGTGACACTTGGAGTGAAGTGTGATGGACAGAAATAGAGGGCTGTGTAGTGTGCTTGGGAGCACAGGGTGCGACGCTGAAACTGTGTGCCCAACCCAGGACCAGTGCTCGACAGATCCATCACCAAGGACTTTTCTCCTTCCAGATAGTAACTAGCAAGAAATGAACCTGATCTAAAAGATAATTGATATGGGAAAGTTCTCCAAATAGATGTTTTATCATTTATTCTGACTTCCCATCATTCATTTTCACCCAACTATATAGATGGGTGAGCCAGATGGATCTTAATACCTGTGACCAATCCCTGTAGGTGAGTAGGTCTAGAAGCATGGGCCGGGACCAGCTGCATCAGCATCTCGTGGGAGCTTGTTAGAAAGGCACATTCTCATACCCACTGAGCCAGAGGATGGGATGGACTCTGCAGTCTGTGTTAAGCCCTCCACATGACCAGATGCATGCTCAGGTTTGGGAACTGCTGCCTTCATTGTTCTGGGTTGGGAAGTTCCCTTTTTTGCAAGTCCAGGGCTGTGATTCACTCTCCCGCCCCCTGCTTTGTGGAAGAAAGCCCCTACAGCAGCTCCTCCACTGTTCCCAGGAGGCAAGGAAGAGCCACTGAGGAAAGGTAGGCCTCTAGGCTAACAGTGACTTTCCCGTGGGCTCCTGTCTCAGGCCCTCACCAGACTTCACTTGACAGCCCTTGACTGCTTCATCTGCCCCTTATGTGATGGTTCATGCTGAGATTTGCAGCCAGAGCCCGCTGTGTGTGTGTTGGGTCTCAATGAAATGAATCACCCTGAAGCACTTCCTAGTGATCATCCCAGTTAATCAGGCCTCATCCTTCTGGGCACTCGATCATTCGGCTTTTAATACCAGTTTAGTGGTTAAGCTGCAACTCTGGTGTCCAATCAGGCAATTAATTAGATATCTTTTCTCCCTTGGAGGTTGCAATTTTCTGGAGTCTGGTCTCCAGCGGCTTGCCTTGGCGGGCCATGCAGCCTGGTATGGCAGCTAAACATGTGCTGTTTTGTCTTTGCTTTGCAGGAATGAGCTAGAACGACAGTTTCTTGAATTGCTCCAGTTCAACATCAATGTTCCTTCCAGTGTTTATGCCAAGTATTATTTTGATCTTCGTTCTCTGGCAGAAGCAAACAACCTGAGCTTTCCCTTGGAGCCCCTGAGCAGGGAGAGGGCTCACAAGCTTGAGGTAAGATGCTTCAACATACTGGGGTTTTATGCACTATTGCAGATGCATCATCTTGGTACCGTGGAAAGTGTGAAGTCACAATGCTAATTTTTCCTACTATGTGTTGTTGTAAAATAAGGACAAATTACCCTCGATTTAGAGTTGGTCAATTCATTTAGTTGATTATAATTCATACTATCATATTTTTAATAACCTTCTTAATACCAGTTTTTATTTGATGTACATTGATTCTATTCTTGAAATCTTAAAAAAAGAGACCCAATTCTTAAAAAAATAAAGTCACAAAAAAAGTATTTCTTGACATGCACTCTTATTAGGAAAATGATACCAGGTGGCCCTAATGATTGGGAATCCCAAAAGGTTTGATTCTACTTTTTATTTTTTATTTTTTCAAAATATTTTCTCCATAGCCCAGTGAGAGCTGGGGCCAGCATCATTGGTATTGGTCTGGATTTAGGGCCTTCACTGTTAAGTAGTATGACTTTTGTAGCTCAGCTTCATATTTGCACCAACCTCTTCCCATCTGACTATTTGATTGGATGGAAAGTAGTGGGGTGATAAGAAGGACCACTGGTGAAGCGCCTCCCTCCAGAGAGGGGCGGGGGGGCTGAGGCCCTCTGTAACTTCGTCCTCAAGCACTGTTGTGTCTTATTCCGTAGAGCCTTTGATCAAAGCAATGGATGGTATAATCATGTCCCAAGCTTGGTGACACCCAAGAGGTCTGTGCTGCCTGCCCCATTGTCCAGTCTGAGTGAAACGTTATCCCCTATTCAGTACAGGATCAGGATGGCCAGAGTGGTCTAACAGGTTTAGCTATGAACAAAACAAAGTGTAGAGGTAGTGGGGAAGAGATCATTATGGATTGCAAACTTAACAAAACAAAAATTTTAACTAAAATTGTAAAAGGTAAATAATATGCTAATCCCCAGAAGAAACATAGTAAAACTATGGAAACAACTGAATGCAGAGCACTGCATTTAAAATAAAAAGCCAGTGAGGTTTTCAGAACTCTGCCACCTGCTGTAATTGTGTACAAGCCATTAGGATGCAACTTCTCGTTTAAGTCTTCTTCCATTTCTCTTGAGCAAGAAATGGAAAACCCTTCCTCTGAAGGATATGCTCCAAGGCAAATGTTGTCAGACTTTCACGAGCACACATATGAAATAGAATTTGATTTCACGGTGCATGGGAGCCGTTTCAGCCTGGACAGCAGGCTCTGGAAGCCCTAGTGCCCAGTGGCTCCTCTCATTCCAAGGAGAGGAGCCACTGGTCTGTGGTTCTCTGAGGGACAGTATCTTGTATTGCACGTCAGCCAAGTCGTGGGCACACAGGCTGAGACTGGAGCAGTTGGTGCCTGCTGTTAACTCCAGCAGGTTATCCAATTGGGAAGAGGGAGCACTTGCCTGCTCCTGGGGCCAGCTGCTCCATGGGCTCGCTGGGCGGAGGAAGTCAGTAGTCCTGACAAGACTCTCTTCTCCCAAGAATCGGAGCTTCCTAAGATGCAGGCCTTCCCTCCTTTGTAGGGCTGGACAAGGCACCATCTGGAAAAGCAGTTGGCATGCCTTTGAAATAATTTTTAAGGATGGAGATTTCATTATTTTCCAGACTCCAGCATCCCTGTTAGTCCATCTGGTTAGCAAGCCTGAATCCCTTCATGGAAAGTGAGGAGGAGTGAGACATATTAGAAGTTGCTGTTACCTGAAGTTCTGTGCCTGCTCAGATGAACCGCCAAATGGCTGACTTGACATGTTAGTTGCAGGGTAAAGTGTAGAAATAAGAGCACACCAGGAACCAAGGCAAATGCAAAGTGGTCTTTTCATTAGCCTGGTCACTTCTCTTTGAAATAAATTAGTATCTCTGAATGCATGTAGGATTAAAGCAAAGAGCTTGCATAATGAAATCTAGAATAAGATAGTACATTGCAAATTCATTATTATGGTGTAACATTCAGACCCATGTACTGTTTGTAAGCTAAGAAACAACAGATGGTAATCTCAAAATGTTTAAATAAATGAAAATTATTTACTTTCAAAAATCATTGCTCTAATGTCTGTAAAGAATCTGATTTTGTCTTTAAGTATGTCACCTATATTATGTATATGAAATATATTTCACATGAGGAATTCTCAGTGCTATAGCCCTCATTCATCTGTCATTTGCCCTCATTCATCTGTCATTTGGAGGAAGACATCCTCAGCTCCCGTCTCTCCCCTCCGGTCCATTCCTCCTGCTGCCACTGGAGTTGCTGTTCTAAAGTGCACTTGGTGGGTTTTGGAAACTAAACGAGAATCAGTTTATTTTGGAGAATAAACAAGAATAAACACAGTACCCTGTGTTTCCAATACTTTGAGCATTCCCAGTTATGTGCATGCCTCTGTTATGTGCATATCTCGATTGGAACTCACACATCCATTTGACACATATTTACACATACTCACTTAGGGTCTTCTGATACTCGACACTGGTTACCAGGCACCATCAAGAACAAAACTAACAGAACCTGCCCTTTTGGAGTTTATATTCTGCTGGGAGGACACGGACAGTAAACAGTAAACATAAACTGGCTAGTATGTTAGAAGGGGAGTAAAATAGAAGAAAGGTGGGGAGTTGCTGTGGTCAGTGGCCTCATTGAGTGGGCCGTGTTTGCATGAGGACTTTAGCATGGGACGTCTTAGCCTTGCAGAAACCTCCAGGCTGAGGGAAGAGATGCTGCAAAACCTGCAGCTGGGAGCAAGCTCAGGCTTAGGTGATGGGGGTTGAGGGGGCCACAGAACAGGGTGGGTGAGGCCAGGAGGGAGTATGGGAGAGGAGATCGCAGAGTAGCCAACGGGAAAGCAGGGAGAGCAGCTGGAAGGATTATTGTTGTCCTTCCTGTGAGAGCCGTGATGATGTGGTCAGGGTTGGCTGCTTCTGTGCCTTTGTCCCTTGATGGTGACCCCTTAGCAGGTGGGTACTGTGTCTGTTTCCCTGGCCCCTGCATCATCCTTGGCCTGTTGCTTGAGTTGTATACAAGTTAAAAGACTTGATGTTTGCATCATCGGGAATGAAGTCGACTCCACCCCTGAGTCGTTCTGACAGAAGGGAAGGTGAATGTGACTAGGACAAGACATCTGGTGTCTTTGTCATCAGCCTTTGTCATCACCGTGCCCTTTACCTACACCCAGCAGCAACCCTGAAAAAGCCACGACCGGGCTCTGAGCCCCAGGGAAGATCTAGCCTTGCTCTTGGCTGAGGCCTTCCCCTCCAGAGTCTCACTGTCCTCATCAAGAAAGGGAGGACAGTGTGGATTGTGCTTTCATTCCATGCTGCTCTGGGCCCCTCCTGGTTCCCTTCTTCATCAGTCATGTAGAGTTGACTCAGACATCTGGTCATCTGTGCAGACTCAGTCTCCAATAAATGACTACTGTCAAGTACTGAGCTCTGTTCCCAGCACGGCCCATCATGAAGCCCTGATGCGTTATGACGGCCTCGCAAGGGGGGTGCTCAAAACAGGAACATACCTGGGGTCACACCCCCTTAAGCTTGCTCCCCAGGCCACACTATCCTGTAATTTTTTCACATTTTGAGATGATTTTCTCAACTAGACTGTAAGCACTTTGGAGACAGGGCCTGTGTCTGCACTTCTGTAATAGCCCCCACTGTGCCGGGCACAGATCAGGGCCACAAGGTGTGAACTCTGCAGGGCAGGACCTCCTGTTGGTGTTTTTCCTGACTGTCCTCCATGCGCAGCGGTGGTCAGGGGTGTGGAGGGAGTGAGGGGCTGGCACTGAGGGGACAGTGGCGCCTGCTCCGGAGCCCTCCCTGACCTGCCTTATCTCTCTTCTGCCCCTCAGGCCATCTCGCGCCTCTGCGAGGACAAGTACAAGGACCTGAGAAGACCCACGAGGAAGCGGTCAGCGAGTGCTGACAATCTGACTCTGCCGAGGTGGTCCCCGGCCATCATCTCCTAACCGTGGGGGTCCCCATTGGAGGCCGTACCATCCCTCAGTTTCTCCTTTAGTTTGAGAAAAGATAGACTTGGGGTGGTTTTGTTTTTGTTTTCCTTTCCTTTTCTTTTTTTAATTCGTAGCTCTGTCAGGCTGCCTTGATGACTGCCTCCAGGCTGCGTGGCCCACACGCAGCAAGGCCTCTAGGGAAGTGAAATCAGTATTCCGGAAATCCTGTTTCATGCCTTTCCTGTCATGATTAACAGCACTTCCCTCATGGAGGAAAAGGACTCTCATCCTGGAGAAGGAGAAAAAGGGAAAGGGAAGTCGTGTAGAGGCAGGGAAAGGGTTAAATGGCTCAGCCATTTCTTAAGTCCCCGTCTGGTCAGTAGATGAATAGATGAATACGATGAAAAAACACAACAGTAGGTAACAAAGTTGGATGTGCATTAAAGGCAAGAGTGCTGCGTTTATCACCTCCATTTGGATCAGTATGTTCTGTAAGACTTCTTGCATTCCTTCTAGCTGCTTTTTTGGGATTTGGGGGATTTTTGTTTGTTTTTATTCTGTTTTGGTTTTGGTCCCACAGAGCAGAGAATATAGTTTGTACCCATCATGGCACAGACATCCAAATAAATAGTATTGATTGTTTCTCTCTGCACTATTCCTGTGAGCTGTCTTCTGAGCTTTCTTCCTCACAAGTGGGATGCGCTTGTTTCATTTCTGTATACCTTTATTATATACAGTTTTTCTCCAACGGTGGCAAAATTAACTTGACTGTAGTGCTGAACCAAAAGTATCCCTTTCCCTTCTTATTTCCTCACCCCAAGAAAATTCTAGATCACATGGGTGCTTGTGCCTTCCAGTTTTCTTGCAGTTTTTTTTTTTTCCTATCTGACCTGAAGTCGTAGTTACAAATCAGTTAGACTTTGTGAACTGAAGGAAACAATGTGCAGCAGAGGGTATCCTCTGGTTGAAGTTTTTTCCAGAGTGCTAGGTGTTTGCTTGAAGTTACTGAGTAGGAGCCATTTCTGTGTACCCCCTGCCCAGTTCATTCCTCTACTTCCATGTCCATTGTTGCAAGCAATATTCTTCTCAATTTTTATATGTTTACTTTAAATCAAAGTTAGTCTATTTGTATAAAGTTTTTTAAAAATCTAAAATTAAAAAAAAACAAGGGTGAGGGGTTATTCGGTGGGAAGATCAATGAAGGGCAAAATGTTAACTATTAACTGAGGTATTTTTCACAGGATGGTTGAATAAAAAAAACTCAACTTGCATTTTCATTGTGGGTGCTTAGAGAAGTTATACAAAATTCAAACTGTGAAGGTTTATGCTTCATTAATTATGACCGTACTTTTTTGTTTTCTGACTATCCCTAATTTCCTTATGGGCTAGATAAGAATCTTTTATATCAAGTAAAATAAAAAGGTTAATGATAGAATATCAGAGTAAATTTGATATTAAGTCTAAGAATCTGAGTCAATGAAGCATATACTGCTTTGGGGTTTTGCGTATTTCCCTGGGTCACAATGACAGGTTTCTAAGTTTTTTCCCATTTCAAGTTTCTGCAAGGCAAATGGCAGCAGATACTCTGTGTTTCACCTTTTTCCTCTGTGAACTTGGAAAACTTTGGAATCCTATTCGTCTTGGGTACCCTAAGGTCATGTGCGCACTCCTGATGGAACGTACTTTGGAGATGGAGGGGATTCAGAAAGTTGAAATCCCAAGATCCCCAACCCAAATGTGCTAGTCCGGTTTCAGTGAAATTTGTATCATGTGTAAACAACTGTTTGGACCAGAAGTATTGTCAAGTTGTTTCTGGCCTAAACTTCCAAAAGCAAACAAACTGAATCTGAAAAGTTAATTATCTTTCCCTTGTGATGGTGTTGATATACTCTGTATGGGTACCAAAATTAGCTTCTCTCTTCAAGTAAGAGTTGGATTTAGAACTTTAACTAGAGATCTAAAAATGTAGAAAATATCATTTTATATTCCCTAATCTATATAGCTTAAAAAGGGACATATTTTCTTAGCTGAATATGAATACCTCTCAAGCATAAATTAGTTCCTCTCATGTAAAGTATCTTATTTTACTGATCCATTTCAGGAAAGAGGTTCTGCTGCCTTTAAAGCAGAAAGCTTATTTTTATCCCTTTTATTTGAATGAGAGAGATTTGAAAATTGAATTATGTAAATATTTCAATGCATCTGCTATTATTTTGTGGAGTTTATTAAACTACTTTAAAAAATTGTATAGTCTATTTATTGTATGTATGTACATACAGTCTGATAACTTAAAATTTAAAGTGGATTCCGTAAAACCTGACTCAGTCTTGTTTAGACTATTGAATATTGTTTTAGCCTTGTGCACTGGACTCTACCTCTGTATAGGAAAATTTTCCATATTCATTAATAAGTATTGATTGTATTAATTGGTTATGTTTCTTGCACTAAGGATTTTTAAAAATCTGCTGTAAGTGTAGATTTTAGTTTTACTTTTGCAGTATGAATCACTTGACACATAGGTAGATACTTTAGGTTTGTTGATTTTATTTTTCTACATGATGATGAACATTTAAATTTTGTTCTCTGGTTTGTTCTAAGTTTGCCAAAAAGAAACCCCAGCAACACCCAGTACAGTACCTATTGGCAAATCATAGTGACTGTAATTTGTTTGCAAGGTGATTCGATGCCCTACAATTAAAGCTGGATTGCTATTTAGGACTACATTGTCTTAGTGTAGTTTTTGAATGGACAGTTTTCATCATTAATAGAAGATGAAGAAAACTACACATTTTGTTGACTTTAATTTTAGATTTGACTTAACAAAGTCATTGGGAGAATAAGTACATCCCAGTGATTTTTTTTTTTTTTTAATTTGTTTTACACTTTCTTAACTGGGAAAAGGGAAAGAAGTCAGGGATTTAAAACCAAATTGGAGGGCAAGGTGGGAGATCCTACCATGATCCGAGATGTGTTCCTATGCCTTAATGCACTAGGTGAGGCCGGTGTCAGAGCCTTGTACCCATCGTCTGGCTCCTCTTCTGGGCTGGCTCTCCCGAGTTCCTACTCTTGGTCTTTGGCAGGGGCATCTCCATCTTGGGGTTTCCCTTGGTTCTGGGGATTTTGATCCTCAGATTAACTGCAAAGCAGAATTTTGGGAGTGAGCGATTTTGATCCTTTCCGGCTGCTTTTGGTAACCTCTCACCTGGGGCCATATTTTACAGCTTTGAATTTTTTAAACAATAAAATATAATTCCTGGTTCATTGTAGGTACTTAATAAGTGTTAAATAAATAAATACATAGAACAAATAGTGCCTTCTTGCTGCATTTTTTTGAATATTATGTTGAGATAAAATTCAATAGGTTTTATAGATGCTGAGTATGAACCTCTTCTTTGCAAGAGCAATGGGAAAAGTGTTACTAGTCATGGAAGTCTTGAGCAATTCACAAAAGTATCAAGCACCTCTTAGAAACCTCTAATTGAGATATTGCGTGTCACTTTTGTGTTGATACCCTATTTTGTATTAATGACTTTATCTCCTTTGACTTCATTGGAATCCACATCTCAAGACTGTGTTGGGTGGATCTTAGAGACATGGATCGTCTTTTGAAAGGCCAACCAGAGAGAGCCTGTATTGTTGAAAAAGAGAAGGAAATAAGAAACATACCCTCAGGCTGAAATGGGAAAAGAATACTTAAGAAGATTTATTTCTTAAACCATATGGGAATGCAAGGAAAGTACTACACACAACTTCATTAAGATCATGATTTGCTGTTGCTGAGTGTAGAGCCTTCTTAAGCTATTGCATCTAAACCAGATGCTCCCTTTCTACCCCGCCCCTGCTTTAGGGAGCTGCAGAAATGTGCTTGCAGTCACAAAATGGGTGATGGAGTGTGGACCTGACCAGTTCAGCTGACTTCCTTTCCGGTCTTCCTGTTTGATTTTCTAAGTTTGAACTTATGAAGGTGCTGAAGGAATACTGAGTCACTTTCCGTTCGAAGCTTCAAGAGTTCAGTGATCAGCACTGAAATGGTCTGCTTTTATTCACATCTCTAGACTGCAAGTCTTTGCAGGGTTCTGTGTGTCTGCATTGCTGTGGGTCTTAGCGGTGAGGTGAGCACTCAGGTGAGGATTTGTGCCAGCCTCTGTGCTATCCGTCGTAGGTCTTTGTAGAAGGCCTTCTAGACGGACCTGTGACAGTAAGAAATGTGCTCTGAAATCCCTTACTGAGTGGTGTTTGGATTTTACAGTTCTCTCCAAGTTTTCCTGTGTCTTTTAGTGCCTTGATATAGGTACAGGTCTTTAAAAACTTGGTTTATATAAATAAGTTATTTGAAATGCAGGATAGTAGAAGGGCATTCCAGAATAATTCTGTGCCCTTCATTGATTGGATATGGATAAAGAGCAACTAGCATATTCATGAGATAGGGTTCTTGCCATACAACAACTGAGGAGAACTATCTCCTCTTGTGTCGGTCATTTTGACTGCAGGTGACCTGCTCACGAGGTTAGTCAGAAGTACCAGGCACCTGCTGTCCACTAGGCATTGCACACAGTGGGAGTCCATCAGGACTAAAATCTGGCCCCTGTCCACGTAAAGCTGAATTGATTTGGTCTGGATCAGTGGTTCTGACATGACAATAAAGAAAATAAGACACACATTTCATCCTGTCATGAGCATGAAGAAGAATATCTAAACCTGTTTCTGGTAAGAGACCTGTGTATGAGGGGCTTCTTGAACATCATTTCTTTCCACAGACATTCGTGGAGTTCTACGATCATTCGGTGTTACAGATTGGTATGTTGTGAGGTCCTTAAAGTTAATGTGATTGCTACCAAAAACATGGAGGAGAAACCACTGGAAAATAAGAATTTAGTAAAATGGCAGTTATAAGGTCACTGTACAAAAGTGATAGTTTCCCTAGTCACCAGCACTAACCAGTTAGAGAATACAGTGGAGCAGAGATGCCATTCGAAACCATCACATTATAACCTGAGAACGGAAACATCAAATACTTATGATGGCCACTACAGCTTTAAGCATGTAGCACACTTTAATTCATTGAATGCTTATCAGTTTCAGGGTAGCTGCTGCTACTCCAGATGATGATGCTTAGGCTTGCAGAGGTGGGCCCACAGTCAGAGAGTTGAGCCAGGACGCCTGACTCCAGAGCTTAATTTTAACCAGCCTGCTATATGGTCTTTTACTGCCTTCATTAGGGAAGAAAACCTGTCAAGAAATGTGTTCTAGTCTTTCCTGCCCCCCAACACACACACATTCATGCCATTCCAAAACCTGCAAAATGACCTTATTGGGAAATGGGGTCTTTGCAGATGTAATTAGTTAAGATGAGGTCATATTGGATTAAGGTAGACCCTAAATCCAATGACTGGTGTCCTTATAGAGGGAGATTTGAGGGCACTTGAGTGGCCCAGTTGGTTAAACATCCTACTCTTGATTTGGGCTCAGGTCATGATCTCACTGTTTTGAGATCAAGCCCTGCTCTCAGCACAGAACCTGCCTAGGATTATCTCCCCCTCTCTGCCCCTCCCCTGCTCGCTCTTTCTCTCTCTCTCTCAAAAAAAGAGGGGGAGATTTGAAGATACATAGGCCTAAGGACAGCATCCGTGTGACAACAGAGGCAGAGGTTGG